GCTGGGTCTATCACAATTTTCTCGGAGGAGATCTGCCGTTTACAGATGGAGAATTTGACTTCATTCGGGTAAAAGGGATAGCTCAGGGTGTACCAGAGCACGCAGTGAGTACCGTATTCTGTTTATAAGCGTGAAATTTGACAAATATCTTCTTGCAGTGGGAGGAACTCTTATCGTCCCTGTGTAGAGTCCTATGCCCAGGAGGTATAATCGAGATGATTGAGGAAGATATTATATTCCCTACTGTTTTGGAGCCTGCAGATAGTACGATGGATGTTGATGAGATCAGCGTTGGAGCCTCGTCCAAAAGTAGCAGAAGCGCACCCACAAGTGCTTGGAAGCACATCTTCAGAGTCAACTACAATCCACTCGAGGCCACCAATTTGAATTCACAACAAGCTATTCATAGGCCAGAACTCTCAAACCCCGAAGAGAATCGCTTGGGAGTGTTCCCAGAAAGTCGATTCGGTTTGAATGTACCCCCAACCACTCATTCCTCATCCCATCTTGCTCATGCTATCGAATTCGCAACAGATCACGCAGTACTTAACTGGCTTTACTCGGCTGTATGGCAGCGCCGCTGGGTTAATACCCGACCCACCAAGATCATGAGTGCACTACTAGCTATGCAGGCCGAGCTGGAAGATGTCGTTTCCAGCGAGTGTATTGAGATTGCCAAGCCTGATCCGGACAGTAAACAGGATAATCTCTCGCCCCTTTTTTACCAAGCTAGTAGTGCTGATGCGGAATATCGCCGAGGAGATGCCTTTGCTCTCCAAACAGGACCCAAGCACAGTACGAGACGACATGGAGGGATTGGTATAGGCCCTTCGGCTCAACATTTCCATACGAATCGATTACATAATGCCACCAAACCTGTTCTCTCCCGTTCTCAATCTCTCCGCGACGATCACAATGATTGGTCTCTCCCTTTGTCTACGCGCCTGAAGCCTCCGATCTCAGACGAGACGTGGTTGAAAATGGATCCGTATGCTCATACAGTCCGTTCGTCAACACCAGCGGTAGCGAGGCATGTTACGCACGAAGAACGCGACCCCCAGGCCCTCTTTTATAGTGACAGTGACGAGGACGAGAGGTCAAGCGAGGCTTCATCGGTCTCTGCACCGTCAACGCCCAGAGCTACATCTCCTTCAGAAACGGAGAAAGGAAAGTCCCAAGGATCTCCTAGACTATCGACATCAGGTGGCACCTCTCCAGCCGGTAGAGTAGGTAGAAAGGATAGTAGGAGAAAGATGAAGACTGCAATGTCTCGGGCAAAAAGAGCTGGGTCTATCACAATTTTCTCGGAGGAGATCTGCCGTTTACAGATGGAGAATTTGACTTCATTCGGGTAAAAGGG